ACTCTTTTAGAGTGAACTAAATAAGGAATCAGTTTGAGTCCATACTCGCTAATATTCTAATAGAATTGGTAACAAATGAAAGGATAATCAAATAGTATAAGTATTCCTATCAATCTAACCTAGTCTATACCATCTTCTTCTAGGCCCAAGTGGAAGGGCAAAGTAAAGCAGAAGGATGATAATAGGACTAGGCTAGCACAAAACATGGGTATCCAAAAGGTTAAAGGGAATAAGGCAGTGTATATTGAGGGCAAAGAAAACTGTTTCTTTTGTCGCTAACTAAGACACTAAAGGACAAACTGTCTAAGCAATGACGTGGCATAGGAAAATATATATTTAATCATTGAGCCATGTTATGTGGTTGTATCTATTAATTCCTGATGAATAGATTCTGGAGCCACTAAACATGTTTGCAATTCATTGCAAGGATTTCAGGAATCCAGAAGCCTCGATGATATGGAATATATTTGTACTTGACCTGATGTCAAGGTTGTAGCTAAGTCAGTGGGAGTATTACATCTGAAATTAGAGAGTATGATGATATTAGTATTAGAGAATTATCTTTATGTACAGAGGTTAGACACTATCTAATTTTTGTTTCACTTGTGGTTTATAAAAACTGGATCGTTATTTTGTAAAATTGGTTTTATAAAATTGAATAGATATGCGATTGCTTCTAGTGCATTGAAAGATGGTTAATATACTATAATCACAAACTCTTAAGATTTGCAAGATGTAGAAATTAATGTTGCATCTCTAGATTGAATGTTAAGAGAAAATTTGTTATTCCTGACTCATTGTATTTTTTGGTGTCTATTTTTGGGTTGTAATCAATCAAATTGAGATTCAAAGATTGGTCAAAGAAGATTTATTGCCTAGTGAGGCAGAGGAGCCTAAACCAAACTTGTGAATCCTGTTTTGAAGGATAGATAACTCTAAGGGCTTAATCAGCCAAATGAAATAGACATAAAGAACAATTGGAGTCGGTACACACGGACACGTGTGGTCTTATGAACATCCAATCAAGATTAGTCACGTTTTGGATAAATTTACCTATTGCGACACAAGTCTTATACTTTTGGTATATTCCGAGAGGGTCAAGATTGATGTGGAGCACAGATTAGGTAAACTTATCAAGACACTTCGATCTGATCGAGTATTTGAGTATTTCTTGGGATAGTGCAAAGATTATATGGTCAATGAGGGTGTTGTGTACCAGTTTTTCGCAATTGACGCTAAATTAATTTAGGTGTCAAATAGGAATAACAGAATTCCACTTAATATGATTAGATCTATGATCAGTTATGCCACATTATCTCTTTCATTTAAGAGTTTACGTTAATGACATCGATGCGTATTATGAACTGCATTCCATCTTAGTCTATCTCAAGGATACCGTTGAGCTGTGTTTTTGACTAAATCTTAGTTTGAATCACATGCACATATGGGGTAGTCTTGCACATATGCGCTTGATATGGACAAGTAAGTTGGAAACAGATCATATGCATGATAGATTTGATAGCTACTCTAAAATGTCACTAGGACGGATTATTTTATGATCTCAATGATAAAAGTTGATTATTTACACTCACTGTTTATCTATAGGAGAATCATATTATGAATCACATATCTAGTAGCATAGTGTTAGAGAATATGGTAAGAGTACTAGATGTACCATATATGAACACACTTATTATAGAGATTGAGAATAATATATGAATTCCCTATTGATGCGTCAGCATCATCTAGTACACAGATTCCTGCATCGGTACATTGAGGTAGTGGGAGGATTATCATCCAATCCGACAAAATCATGTTTTTAGGTGAGACCATTATGGACATCCCTGTTAAACATGAGTTGGACCCAGTAAGCTACACGGAAGCGTGAATCGATATGGATACAAATCGTTTTGGCGAGTTACTATGAAATCAGAGTTGGAATCTATGTATACTAAATAAATCTGGGATCTTATAGAACTTTCTAGTAGGGTGATACCTATAGAAGGCAAGTTAATCTACAAAAGGATATCAGAAGATTTCTTAGTGAATAAATCATAAGTGTACAAGGGAATGTCATTATTTTTCTAATTCTATATATATATTGTTGACATCCTACTCATTTAGAATGATGTGGAAGTTTTGTCATCAATAAAGAGGTAGTTGTTCAATTACTTTTAAATGAATGATTTTCAAGATATAAGTTATATCCCTAGGATCAAGCTTTTGCAAGATCAGATTAAAAGGAAATTAGGCTTATCTTAATAATCCTGCATTGATAAAGTTTTGACCAGGTTTGGTATGCATAACTCAAAGAATGAGTTCTTGCTTTATTGATATGGATGGCTCTCTCTAGTAAGTAGTTTTTCAAGACTATCAAAGGAAATTGAGCAAATGAGACTGGAACAATATGCTTCGGCATATGAGAGTCTCATATATGCCATGGTCTATACCAAACAGGACATCCGCTACATAGTAGGGATAGTCAGTAGAGATCAGTCCAATACTGGACTTGATAACTGGTCTGTTGTGAAAAATATCATTAAGTACCTAAGGAGGACCAAGGATATCATACTCATTTATGGATGTGATGATATGGCCCTAGTTAGGTATGCTAGTTCTGATTTTCAATCAGAAGTAGATACTATGAGGTTCATGACTTAGTGTATGTTCACTTAATGGAATGGAAATCAGTTGATAGATTGTTAAGCAGATTTCAACTGCTGACTCAAACCTGCAGGTGGAATACATTGCAGCCTTAAAGGCGGTAAAGGAAACCTATTGGTTTGATATCACTGATTTAGAGGTTGTGGAGTATACTAGCCTGCCTATTGAGCTATGTTGCGACAATAGTGCAGAAGTAGTCCAAAACAATGACCCAAGGTTCTATAGAGGAACAAGATACACTGAGAGGAAGTATCATGTTCTACATGATATTGTCCGGCAAGAAAATGTACTTGTAACTAGAACATTGTATTGGAATACAACTTTGTTGATTCATTATCAAAGGTGTCATTGATCAATAATTTTGATCAACATCTGGATAACATTGGAGTTAGGTGCAATTTGAATTGACTATGAGGGCAAGTGGGAGCTGTTAGGATTTATATGCCCTGACATAGCAAATTCCTGTTTGGATTAAAGTGACATATGTTCCTGACGTTTCTGAAATATTTATGTTTTATACAATTGGTGAATTCAATGTATTATATTTCGATTCATTATAGAATTGATAGTGTCCACTTGATTACAAGAGATATTTATATATGTATGTGATGGCGATCAATACATGAATATAAATAGGAAGCATAAATGGTTCATAGTCAGTAATTATGGATGGACTCATAATTAATTAAGACTTGAACTGGATCCGCGTTAAGTTGAGATATATTGCGAGAGCCGTCGTATGCAATTGCTCCCTATCATCGTCATGGCATTTGACTCTTAAACATGAGAAAATTATAGACTCTTTTATTAATTAATAATTACTTTGATTTGTTCGGCGGATTTTTCGGAATCCTTAGACCTACACTTTGGGAATAGTTAGAGGGTTATATTTTCAATATTTGCATCATTGCTACGTGTATTTATTTTGTATTGATTGTGGTTAATCACAAAGTAAATTCGAAGGCCTTCGTATGGTTTTAGACAAAATAATTTATTATATATTTATTTATTAAATTATTATTTTTGTCAAACAAATGTTTTATTGTGATCGAGCCAGAAATAATCAATGGTACCAAAATAAATAAATTAATTAAGTAGTCGGATTTATGACTTTATTTATCCGATAACTAATTATGCATAGAGGGGTCAAAGTGCAATATTGACTTAGAGGTTATTTATTATTTAATTGGAGTTCAATTAATTTCTTTTAGTGGAGTAGAAATTAATTTATGAATTAATTGAATTGAGTCCATGGACCGGGCCAATTATTAATTCATTATAGCCAATAAAATAATAGACCTAATGGATTCTCACTCATAGCCCAACTTGATATTGGAATCATATTAGATTTGAGACATATGAATTAGAGATTGAGAAGGATTTGTTGTTTTCTTTTCTTTATTTTTATGTTGCCTATAAATATACATGGCCTATGTATATTTTAGGGGTGATTTTTATGAGAAGGAAAAAAGAATAAATTTTTTCTCTCTAGAAAATTAGGGTTAGTGTTCTCATTTAATGGAGGCTCCCACAAGCTTAGTTTTTCAAGGTCATTCATAGAGACTTATGAGTGATTCTTAAGGCAAGACCATTACCAAGAAAATGGAGATCCATGGAAAAGGTGTCTAGCAAAAGGGATCTATAATAAGTGAGAACATTCACTTTAGAGGAGAGATCTAAGGTTTACTCAAACCTTGATGTAAGTATTCAATCTTTTAATTGAATGATACATCATATTTTATTTTTGCATAAAACTTGTCTCTATGTAATGAATCAAGATTTATGAATTAAAATCCCTCGAAAAGTTTTTAAAATTAGCACGTTTCCCAACAACCGAAACCGGAACCGTACACCCACAATTTTGAAATTAAGAATCGAGATCAAAACCGAAACCAAAACTCACGATTTAGTTCAATTCTCACGGTTTTACGATTCGTTTGTGCACCCTATATATTTGTATCTTAAAATTATGGATTCAAGATGGCAGACACTAGAATGCAAACTTGCACCTGCTGATACACGTGCTTTAAATTTTTTTGTCACTATTGTTTGCGTTCAAAATGACAATAACTACTCAGTCAGTCTAGCTGTACAGGTTTAAAATGATAGAAAGAATCAAACAAATTATAACAAAAATAACAATAGTTGTTCACCAAGTCACACAAAACTTGTGCATAGGCCAAACATATAACCAAACGTGCCATTACCAGGAGTGGTTGGTTCCTTCCACCAGGTGCATTTTGCATGTCTGTGCTGTTAATATTTCACGCGTACGGGTTACATAAGAAATTAACCGCATTCCTTCATCGAGACCCCATTGAACCCAACACCCAACGTCCCCTTCAACTGTGTAATAGTAACAAAATTTGGCCGATGTGGAAAGCTATATATGTGTTAACTCCAATCAATTTATTAGGTTTGTACAGTGGCCGATAATGTGTACTAAAAGTTAGGAAACATATCTATCTGATTAATAATCAAAATTTCATAACAAAATTCAATAAAAAAACATTCATCCCTTCATTCAAAAAAAAAAGAAGAACATTTATCCCTTCATGTGCAAAACACACGATCTCATTATTCGATATCGTAATTAATGGTTCTTCCACAATGTCACATGCATCTACTCTGTCCACTCCTCCAAACTGGCAAAACAAGCAACCAGTAACCAGTAATCACCGCGAACCCCACCGTCAGTGGCACCGCAATCACTCCGTGGAACGGAAGACTCCAACCCATGGCCCGAAACACGGACTCAAACACCATGCACAACCCATGCAACACGAAAAACCACGTGACCTCCCACGTGGGTCTCATTCCACAGGTTATGTAGTAGAATACAACCTCGTGCATGACACCGGACACCACAAGCGTGGTGATCAATGCCACCACCTTTGCCGGTCCGACTCCGACGATCCCCGTTAGGGTTTCTCGCGTAGGTACATAGACAGTCAGTCTCAAAATGTTTGATGACATCCTGTTCCACCTTCTCCCCCAAAAATCTTGTAAAGATGTAGCCAGATATGGCTGGTTGAAAAGTGTCACCACCTCATACCCCATAAAAAACAGTATGTAAAACCCTAAAAATATAGATGTTGCATACAGAAATAAGATGGATTGAGTAGGGTAATTTTCTTTTCCATTATCTAGTACTAGTACCATTGGTACTAATAGTGCTAATACAAACAATTTTACTAAATTTGGGTATGGATTTGAAGAGGCGGGTTTAGCATCTATTATTTTGAGTGGAAAGATAGATAATGCTACAAAATCTATGTATTTTGTACCTGTGACGAGAGGGCCTCGATTGAAGCAGAAGAGGATGAGCTTGAAAGAAGTAATCCATGTGATAAAGAAAGCTGAGACTCCTCTGAGGACGGCCAATGAGAAATACCAAGGTAGGGTGGAGAAGAAGTAGAAGACAGGAATGAGGGAGAACACTCTGAACATGCCCTTTGGAATCTTTGTGACAAACATATAGCAATAGCTCAATGATGCCAAGAGCAAAACTGTTGGACCCATGGAGAACATGACTCTGTGTGTGTAATGCGTGTGTGTTCTGGTTCAACACTCTCTTTATACTTCTCAAACAGTTTGCTAGTTTTAACTGCCCAGTGCTATTCTCATGACTAGAGAGATTAAGTCACTCGATCTGTCACTGAATAAATGGAAAACTTGTGAGGAGAAGTCGGTGAAATAAAAAATAAAAAAACAAATACATTATGATACATATTTTTAGTGAACAGCAAAATTTCAAAATTATTAAGCAGCTAATTTTTTAATTAAAGCAGTATGATCTGAAAGTAAAATTTTTGTAAATATCAAACAAGGCCTCCATCCTAGTTTTGTAGGTTTTTTTTTGGGAAAATTACATATAAATGGAGTCAAAGTTTCATATTTACTTAGAGGCTGAGTCAAAATTCCATATTTCTCTAAAATGGATTGCTGAGGTGGCACATGGTTTTTTACTGTTTAGAAATTGTGGTGCCTAAAATACCCTTCCGCGAAGGTACTACTTTTTCTTCAAAGGTACTACTTTTTTGAACTGAAGATACTACTTTTTGGCGTCCAGGTACCATATTTTTTAAACACCCGCGAAGGTACTACTTTTTTTCCGAAGGTACTACTTTTTTGAACTGAAGGTACTACTTTTTTGTTAGGGAAGGGCATTTTAGGCACCATAATTTTCTAAACAGTAAAAAATCATGTGCCACCTCAGCAATCCATTTTAGAGAAATATGAAACTTTGACTCAGTCTCTAAGTAAATATGAAACTTTGACTCCATTTATATGTAATTATCCCTTTTTTTTTTGGGAAAAGGTTAAGTGCACACTATTTTTTGTAGTTTTTTTTGTAAGGTTACATAAACACATGCCTCCACTTGTACCTATATCCTCTTTACTCTTAAAACATGGTTCCAGTGGCGGAGCCACGTCACTAGAATTTTCTATTATTCGTACTTTTCATTCACAAATTTTGATAATTTTGAAAGTGGCCCACTGAACTTTTGAAAAAAATCACAAAAGGCCTTAAAAAACTTCCAAAATTAAAATAAAAAAAAAAAAAAAATCCCTCATTTTTTAAGTCAAATGTCTAACAAAATTTTTAAATTTAAAAAATAGAGAACTGTTATGTGAATATAGACCTTTTTATAACTGAGTTTTTAAAAAATTGAACTAAACAGAATTTTTTGTACAAATTTCTATTTTTAATTTTTTGAGAATAAAAAATTATTTCTATAATTACAAACTAAACAAGTGTTTCAACATAAATGCAAAAACACACTGCATAACATGAGTGCAGTGGGCTCGCTCTTTGGGCTTCTTTGCCTCCTATCAGTGGATAAGGCTGCAATTTGGGCGGGCTAACCCAGTCCAGCCCAACCCCAACCCGTAAATTTTGAAATTTGGACATACAATTCACAAATTGGGTTTATGCTCGGGTTGGGTTTTGTCAAAACCCAGACATATTCGGGTTGGGCTCGGGCTCAACCCGAACCCAACCCAAAATTATTATTATTATTTTTTTCTCCTTTCTCTCTCCTCTCTCTCTTTCTCTGCCGCCGTCGCCGGCGTCGCTCACCCTCCGCCGCCTCCGATCCGGGATTATTTGTCCCCAAAAAAGAAACCTTACCGATCATAGGACCCAATCCAAGCAATTACTCATCTATCATCTATTTCCTTTCTTTATTCGCTACAACATTTTTGCTTATATAAAATGCTTATATATCAATACATATATATATATATATATATATATATATATATATTTGTCATATCCTGAATTTTATTAGCTCTTTAATTATTATTATGAGCCTGTTAATATTTGTTTGAGCTTAAATACTTATATTTAATTGCGTTGGAAAACAAAATAAGAAATTTCATTTTTTTTGTAAACAATTAATTAAAAGTATGAGAATTGTTCACAAATGCATGGTACATGGTACCTAGAAGTAATTTCATATATTGTTATATTCATGTGTCTGGTATCAATTAAAAAGTTGATACAGTTTGTGGTAACTAATGGAAGAAATAGGATAATTAAAATATATGAAGTGGATATGTGTACTAAAATGCATGTTTGATGATGTCGTGGGTGTATTGTGTGCTTTAGAACATGCTGGTGGCCTTTCATATAAATGGTATTTTGTATTAACTGAGGATTGAGATTGGAAAGTTGGCGGGACCAAAAGATAACCATATTAGTTATTATTTGGGTAAAGATTATTTGAGAAAAAGCTTTCTAGTATGTATGCATATACAGGTGAGTAGTATTCAAATTACTGACTCACACACATAGCACATATACATATATAAACATAGATTCGTGTTGAAAGTTTTCTGATTGGACCGCTTGAATCATCATACTTATCTTTGTAAGTTAAAAAGAAAAAAAAAAGAAAAGAGAAAGCCACGATTAAATAGGTAGATGCTATCAGCACAAACCAATATTTCTCACACTCTTGACACGTCACAAAGTTCCTTTAAGGAGCTCTTTGGACCGAAGTAGGAAAAGGGGTTAAAGGAAAGAAAATAAGGAAGAAGAAGAAAATTTAGAAGGAAAGGGATGGAATTCTTTCTGAAAATTCTGGTAGCCAATACTAAAGGTAAATCATATATATATTTTTATGTTGAAAGCTCATAATCTGGTGTTTTAATGAGCAATCGGGTTAATGGATTTTACATAAATTATTTCTATATGATTTATTTTACTTGATTCAAGTGCTATATTATCTAAGTTTAACTACTGGTTAGTTGATGTGATTATTGAAGTGAAATTAATGTAATTGTTATTGTTAGAATTTCCACTAGAATTGTGTGTGGAATTAAGATTTATAGAAATGTGATAATTATTATTTATATTTTTTTAGAAATGAATATGGTGTGATTATATTATTATTCAGGCAAAGAGAAGGAGCAGACAACTTCTACCATACCAAAGGATAAATGAATAAATTGGGGAATAGTTAAGGTGAGTGTACTCACTGGAAGTTTTACACTTGAAATGTTAAATTGAAGTATTGAAGTTATTTATGTGATATAAGGTCCATACTCTGGTCTGAAAAGAGAGTAATATATTATATAAAGTCCATACTCTGGCCTGGAAGGAGAGTACTACATTAAATAAGGTCCATACTCTGACCAAGAAAGAGAGTACTATATTAAAATAAGGTCCATACTCTGGCCTAGAATGAAAGTACTATATTTTAAATACCTGTAAAGCTGGAAGTTATATATTATAAAGTTAAATTGAAATTATCAGATAATATTTGTTTATATTACTCTGATGTAATAGTGTTGCATTCATTGGGCTTAAAGCTCACTCTTTCCATTTCTATATTTTCAGGTACAAGGTTGGGTCGCTACTGCCAGGTCTAGATTTTAGAGTGGAAATGGGGAAAAGAACAATGTAACGTCTTTTGTTTAAGATGTAAATATTATAGTAGAATTTAATAGTGTAACTTGTTGTTAATGTTCTAGTTGTCAGAATTTGCATAATAGGCTTATATTTTGTGTTAGATTTGTAAACTATTAAACAGGTATTCTGATGTAGGATGATGTTGTGGTTGAAGGAGGTTAATGCAGATGGTTAGATGCATTCCAATTTGTTCAATTTATTAAATAGTGTAAATTGGGTTGGGATGTGTTAATATCCTTGTTGTTTCACTCGCTAGTGACTGTCAAGAGATGGTTTCCAACGCTCTAACACTCCTCCTATCGTCATCTTCTTCTTCAATCAACCCACCAAACCCAAATTTCAGTTTCATGATTCGAATGCGTACCAGAACAAATCGAAGTAGTGCTCGACCTTTGACCATGGTCGCTTCATCAGAGACCGATGCCTCTCCTACACATTAGAAATCCACAAAATTGGTGACATTTTTAGGGAAAGGTGGTTCTGGCAAAGACCACTTCGGCCATCTTCGCCGCTCAGGTATTTTCCAATGGAGCCGTGTTTGGATGTAATTTGCATATGCATTTTCTTAATAGTGTTTTACTGTACATTAATGATACCTAGCTGATTGAACATTTTGAGAATTGTTTTATTTTCCCAATTCTTAGCATAAAGATTGCATTTTTTTTCTTTTAATCCCCACGACTTGCCTTGTTAATTTGATTATATATATATTTTTAATAATAATATAATCAAATATATATAATATACATATATATTGTATAATATATATAAATTTCTGGGAAAAAAAATTATATATAAAAAAAAAAAAAAAACTCAACCCGTTAACCCGACTTAATCCGTCCAACAATATTCGATCCGAGTTATGACCACAATCTATATTAATTACAATTCGAGTTGGCCCAACCCAACTCGATTCGGGTTGAGGTTGGGTTAGGGCTGGGCTAGATTAGGCCAACCCAACTTGCAGCCCTATCAGTGGACTCCTTTTCATCCAAAATAATGCGTTTAATTGCTGGCAACTTTGCTCTTTTTAAATTGTAATGGGCTACTAACTAGCCGAACTTTTTTGATCATGGGTCATGGCTTATGGCCCACCACGGTAAATTTTAGATAAATATATAGTGGTTAAAATCATGCATAAAACTTTTTGTAAAATTAAAAAATCTCTTTAATTAATAAAACTTATCAAGTTACCAACATATATGTAACAACACGTTAAATGAGTTATGAAATGTCAAATTTGACTTTATTATGTAATATTAAAATAAAAATTATAATTATTATTGTAAAATTACAAAAATACCCATGTCCTATTCCCAAACACATTGAAAGTTAAGTTTGATTTAATAGTTTTTAAATAATATTTTTGCAAGTACTTTAGATATTTTTGTAAGTACTTTAGGGTATTTTTGTAATTTTAAATTAATAATTATAGTTTTTAGATTTAATATTAAATAATAAGTTCAAATTTAACATTTCATAATCCCATTACGATTTTGGAATAACCTGATAAATTTTGTTAGTTTATAAAAATTTTGAATTTTATTGAGAATTTTATGCACGTTTGAGGATATTGTGATTTAACCCAATATATAATTTTTTTTTTCCGTAATTAACCTAATATATTACTTAACCTTCAGGACAAAAAAATAAAAAAATTACTGCTTAGAAAAATATGAACTGACCTGTATTGGTTACTCACAAATCAATATAAAAATCGTAATTTTGGAGGGGGACATATTTAAGCACTTTTCAGATAAATGCATCTGTTATAAAAACAAAGGAAGATTGCAAAAAAATAAAAAAAATAAAAACGAACGAAGAGGGGAACAAGCACACTTGAATGAATACTACATCCATCACTTAGGTATGAGATAATATCAATATGTACACTACAAGTCCACGGAGGATTTGTATGAAATGCCATTATTAATATTTATCATATTAACCTCCGTATACAGAATCACAGCTCACGCAAAAACCTCTGCAAGCACCTAAACCCTAAATTCTCAGCACAAAACCTCTCCATTTCGTGTCCACCTCTCTCTCGACAAACATCATTCTCAATCTCCGCCACCACGTCGTCCCAATTCCTCATCAACCCATCCCAGTCCTCCACCTTGGCGTCCGATACGGCGTCCAAGATCTCCTGCAACCCCACGATCCGATGGCTCACATGCCGCCTCAGCTCCCTCACCGTCTGATCAACCCCCGGCACCGAATCCAGCCTCAGCAACAGCCCCATCAAGGCCTCGTTCATCCTCATCCTCTCCCGATCGTCGCCTCTGATGGCGTCCACCGTTTCCTGCCGCTGGAGGAGCCGTTCCAAGCGGTTGGCTTCCGAATTGACTGCTGAGATCTTCTTCACGAGTGCGCGGACTATGTAGGAGCGGTAGGCGGACTGTATCTTCACGGCGGCGGCGGCGGAGGCGGAGGATTGGGATTGAGAAGTGGACAGGTGGACGGTGATGGGGATGGCTGGGGATTCGGTGGAGGAATCGATGATGGGGATTTCGGTGGTCTTGTTGGTTTTGGTTTGAGGGGCAGAGTGGTCATTTTGGAATGTATACGTGACGGTGCTGGAGGAGGTTGAGAAGAAGCGAATTTTGCGAGAGGAATACATTTTCATGGATGGAGAGAGGAAACACCAAAAAAAAGAAAAAAAGAGACGCAGAAAGAGGGAAGGGACAGTGAGACTGTAAAAGATAAGAGGAGAGGATTCTCGTATGTTCTTTTGGCGCGTATTACGCATTGCTGGCAAGAACATCGTCCGTTGATTACTGGCCCAGTCGCTTTAGGTGAGTGGCTCTGCTTTCCCCACTATTTAGTGGGCCAGTTGGCCCAGTCCAGCAAACTATGATGTAGGCCAATGGGTTTTGTTCCCATGTACGGGATCGCCATTTTTATCATGAATATTTGATCTCGTTGGACTTTGAATTTTTTTTTTTTTTTAATTTAAACAGTCAAGTAAAGATATTTCAGTATCAACTTTAAGCAGTAGATTATATACTTTCTTTAAAAAAAAAAAAAAAAAAAAAAAAGGATTATATACTTTCAAACATAATATGAAAATTATTTGCAATTCACAATCAAGAATTAAATTTTTCTGTAGTCTTTTATTTTCAGTAGATATTAATTCGTTATATTTAAGGTAAAGAATAATGTATACGGGTAAATAAAAAGTCATTCATTTTTCAATTGATCTCTTTGATTTTTCAAAACTTAGGTTTGATGGACTTGATTATTGGCCATTGAAAGAAAATGCAAATCACCTCATCCAAGTATTATACACAATTTTTTCGCGCCATATAAATGAAGGGATATGTCACATCTGCCATATACTCCAAGACCACGTAGCTAATTAGGAAAGTTTGGATTGGCCCCATTTTATTTGAAGCTTTTGTATTATTTTTCAAAGAAAACTGATACTTGGACAAAAATAATCAATCAAAATGGTTCGTTGATACAATGCATTAGACTCACATGGGTTCCACTGTTTTGCGTCTAAGGCTGGAGTGATGCTCTACCCGCCATTTCTGTCTAAATAGAGGGTACTTTCTTAAAAGGTGAAAAATAAATTCTTTTAAATAAATATATATAATGCATACCATTCTCAAACCATATTATAATATATGGTTCATAATTTCCAAGTCTTCGACACAACATTTAAGAGAAGCTAAGAAGTACGGACACGTCAAAATGGGTGAAGAATTCGTGTCAGACACGGACATGCCTCGACACTTGTTGGACACACAAAAAAACGTGCCTGAATTTTTTTTAATTTTCGAACACGGCACGGACACTCCGCTGACACGGCACGTACACTCCGCTGACACGGAATTTTTTATTTATTTTTTGAATGCTGATACGTTATGTTTTTTGTTTTGTACTACTCTTTTGGTATTATAAATAAAAAGCCCTAGGTCAAATGATGAATGAGAATAGATGATACTACATTAACTTGTTTTTGTATCTTTATTGGGGACTAGTCTTTAGGTTTTTGTGAATGTTAAGTGCTAACAGTAAAGTCCTGAATATTAAACAGTCATGAATGTTAATAGTCTTTTCTGTCTATGCTTTTGTATTTGGAGTAAAGTTGCAATGATGATTAAATGATACTAGTTATTATTTTAATGTCTTGTTTTTTATTTGATTTTATACCTATGCAACATTATTTTTTTTATAGTTTATTAGTTTTGAGTTATGATTTATGTTTTTTTTCATTGTGAGGTTGATAAAAAATAGTAACACTTAGTAATTTTTAAAGTACTACATCATATATATATATATATATATATATATACACACACACACACACATTATTCGTCGTGTCCCTGTCGTGTCTGTGTTTTAATTTTTTTAAATTTGTCGTATCCGTATCATGTCATATCCGTTTCCAGTATCCGTGTCCGTGCTTTTTATACTCCAAGACCACGTAACTAATTAGGAAAGTTTGGATTGGCCCCATTTTATTTGAAGCTTCCAAGTTATTTTTCAAAAGAAAATGATACTTGGACAAAAATAATCAATCGAAATGCATTAGACTCACATGGGTTCCATTGGTTTGCGTCTAAGGGTGGAGTGATGCTCTACCCGCCATTTCTGTCTAAATAGAGGGTACTTTCTTAAAAGGTGAAAAATAAATTCTTTTAAATAAATATATATAATGCATATAATTGTCAAACCAAGGGAAGCTCGAAGAGCTTTCAAAGCATGCTTGAGCGCATTAATCCAAGATAATATATGGTTCATAATTTCTAGGTCTTCCACACAACATCTAAGAGAAATAAAGCAAGCCTAATAATAGTGTTAAATAAGTACAAGTGGGTTCTAGAGACCCATAAAGCAAAGCAATGATCCAACAAACAACACATAAGAAAGTCCATCATGATGGGCTGAAGCAGAAGGGGTTGTGGGCCCAGCTGCCATGGCCTCTGATATAGCAACAGCCTGGATCTCATGTTGAGGCTGCACCTCCACGTGCAGCTTCAGGCCTTTTCTGCAACTTTCAGGATTCCCGCTTGCGAAGTAGTGGATCCCTTCCTCCCTGAGAGAGACGCCATCAAAGCCGTGTGTGTACATCCTGATTGGGTTGTTTACTTCACACGACTCGAATTCTTCCCTGCTTTTGAGCTCCACAATGCTTTCACGCGTTGCCGAGTAGGTGAACCCTGCCCACTCACCCAAACCAAGGTAACATTGCCATGGTAGCTTACAAAGATGGAGTAGTTTAGACAAGAATACCCTAAAATTTACGGTGTACAAACAAATAAATTGGATGATGTGTGACACACTGACAGTGTGACTACCTACCCAAAAAAAAAAATGAAAAAAGAAAAAATTGTGTAGGTAGGTCGGTTACTCACTGACGGATCCAAGAATGAGCTTGAGCCTACCTCAAAAAAAAAAAAAAAAAAAAAAAATCTCCGAATTTATTATACACGGGTGACTGCAAAATATGATTATATCTTATCTAAAAACCAAAAAAAATCAGCCCACTTAGTGGACGTTGGACATCCCATTAGCCAGGTGGTACAAATTGAGAGGTCACTGTAACGATTTGGAGACTAAGATAATTCAAAACCGTGAACGGAGATTGTAAATCTCTTTAAATACAAACAAACACACATATACCTACATCTATAGGGGTATATGCTAATATATATATATATATATATATATATATATATGTTGAGAGAGAAAGAGAGAGAGGAGGAAGGGGGAAGGGGCTTACAGATTTTGTCTCCCACCCTGAAGATTCTGCCGGAGGACGAGGAACCGACTTCCGAAGATGGGTTCCAGCCGCGGTCACCTCCAGCCACATGGTTGACTTGGGCTCCAACCCATTTCCCTCCTATGGCCGTTAAGATGACAACCAGAGCTATGAACGGCTTCAATCCAGCCATCTCCAATTTTCCACAGTAATCTGATAAACCCTTGTAAGCTTTTTATCTATAAATGTCAGAGAGAGCTTTTGAGATGGAGAGAGTAGATAAAATGAATGTTGGTCAAGGAGAGCGCCTTTTTTTGTTCAGGCCCAATGTACTCTCTTTCCAGGTAGTTTCCTTTCCTTCCTATGGCCTACCAGGAGCAATTTCTTCATATACACTCTACAATGACTAAAATGTCCTTCGACATTAGAAAAAAGGATTCCCGCCATCGAAATTTCAAGGACATGTCAGTGTCACAGAACTGGATCCCTCACCCGGATCCTGATGTTGAGGGAATCCTGTGCTTTGATCTTGTGTCGTTATAACTCACTACACACAATAATGCAATAGAAGTAGTAGTTGTTAATTGATGCAAAAGCGATGCAATCGCAAAAAATGAAATGGAGGGGTTTTGAGTGTGACAACCGGGCTCATATCACCTTTCTGATCTCACAAGCTTTAAATGTGGTGGCCCTTTTCCTATTCTTTCTTTCTTTTTTTTCTTTTTTTTGACAACTACCATTTTCTTTGACATGTTCTTTAGTTTGTATCCTTCGCACTTAAATTGTGCGCACCCGAAATGGTGCACGTACACATTGTCCATCAGATTGCTTGGTATATTTGATTTGGTTAATGATGATTAATTGAGAATTATACGCACATCACGAATTTTTTCACGCAGTTTTTTAATGTGATATCGTTCACTCTGTCATTTGCATGCTAGTTTTCAGAGGAGAACATTTGTTGTAATTTCTGTAAAATTTACAGGAAAAAAAGGTTTGAGATTTTTGTTGTAATGATGCTTGAATTTTGCATTTGAGAGATTTTCGCTGGAAAAAAAGTCTTGAAAAGGGTTCCATGATGGAAATACACCATCTTAAGTGGTGAGTTATTAAGTTAGGAACCGAACGAAATTGAATTCAGTGTTTAAACTGAATTTCTTCTAATTTTAATTCGGTTATTCGGTACTCCAAAACACAACAAAAGTAATAAAACAATTAATTTAAAAAATCACTCAACTTAACCATTTTTAGTCTCCATAATTGAAATTTTACTATCATTAACATAGATTACATCTCCATAGTGAAATTTCTTAACCATCTTCCTCCATGTACATACAAATTGTGTGCGCGCTATGTGAAATAATTGAATTTCACATCTTTTGTCTGATTATTTGGAACTGTAGCTTAGAGCTGTCATGACAGACATAACATGATAGTCTAGATCACTCCTCAAACGCTTCCATAGGTGACTGAAACACGATAATATCAGCCCCTTCAGGTAACTTAAAACTCACCCTTTTTTTCAGCTTCCCACTATGGCACGAGTCGTCTTCATCTCCTTCATCAATCCTCCTTAGTCTGTCTGAGGAGAAACTGGTTCTTGGTGTATAAAAATTTTGATGGACTTTAGGAGAAGAAGGGTATACTTTTCTGGACAACTGTTGGAAAACATGAAACTCACATGTAGTGATGCATTGAGGATTATCATTCAAGCTTGGTGAAGCCAACATACACTCCTTTAGAGTCGAACTTTTTTTGGTTGCAGTTCTATTCTGTGGTGGCTGCAACTGTTCCTGCTCTTTCTTAAAGCAAAAACCGCATAGATTTGCCCCCATTGGGTACTATCAAAAGAATCATCCAATAAAAAACTCATCGATGAATAACCATGATGAGAAATGATTTAGATACATGTCTTTTGTGGGGATTATATAGCCGTTGAGACGGAGTGGCCTAGGGTAGACATGTTCATATATGTGTGCTCAATGACTTGGTTTTTATCACTATTTTATCACACTATGTTCCTATCCTATGAAGCATATAGCATATTAAAATATATAGCACTATCATTTTAAATGTTATGAACATGGTGGTTTGGTTCTTTTGAGACACATTTTCTTGGCTAATCCACCCTTTCACTGCCCCCTCCAAATTAACATAGCAAATGGAAACCCACTTCAGACAAAAACGGTGATAAAAGCAGAGATGTTGTCACATTGTTTGGGTTTTAAGAAACATGTAAGAACAAGTGAGGCAAGACAAAATCCTTTCCAGTATATGGAAATAAAAAAAATGTGAAGACGAACTTGATTCAGAATCTCTGCCAGCCATATTTGGTAGGAGGAGAAAATTGGCTCGACCTTAATTAGAGCATCCATTTATTTAAAGCACATTTTGTACAGCATAGCAGGAATCTAAGAACATCTCTGCTTGAGATTGTTCATTGACCATATCCATAGCAGGGAATCTAAGAACCAATATTTTTTTTACAGTGTAGTATTTATTTGGCAACATGATTATAATCATCATATTCGGATGCAATACTTTCACAAGTTATTCTTGTGATGACATTTATGCGTGGATGTCTTTTCTTAAGTTTTTATATGCTTTTTGTGGGGGAAAAAACAAACCATCCAAGATTGAGTCCATCTGATTGGAATTAATGTCATGTTAATTCATATATTCACCTGTGGTATGACGCATGGCCCGCGAATGGGAATTGCCACCGTGTGTTGTCCGTCCTCCGGGGAGACCCCTAAAAATATTGCAGTTAGTTTGATAATAATCGAGTGACGTTGCTTCTTCGGCCCGAATCAAGGAATCCCTTAGATATGATGAAAAATGGATCTTGTTCTATCCTTGATCAGAGATTTCTCTATGAAAAAGACGAATCGGAGTTTGAAGAAGGGGAAGGAGAAGGAGCTGATCGAAATGCACCCCAAGGTTCCTGCGAGTTACAGAGCCTAACGGCTAAGTTGTGTTCTTTGTGGGCTTAGATGGTTACCTATAATTGGGTTGGGCTTTTACGTCTTCTATGTAAATGTTCCACGGGCCTGGCCTGCTTGCCCATTTGTTTCACCCTTCTGGGCTGTACAGTTTACTACTTTACTTACATCTATATAATTAACTTTACCCTTACAAAAAGACTTCTAAGTGTTCCACATGCATTGTGTACAAATCTTTATTATGGTTTTTGTTTTCATTTTCAATGTTCGATGCACACAGATGATACAATGCGTCTCCAACAGTTAAATTGCTCAGTTGGAACTTGGAATGGAGAATAAAAATTGTATGAGAAGGTCACTTGCCTTTTTATAGATTCTAGAAGTGTGATTGTAGCAAAGCACCTAACACACTAGGCATTTATTGTGACAATGGGCATTCCATAACTGTGATAGTAGCAAAGCCCCCCCGAATATATATGTTTCTTTTGGGAAAATATGCAATCTCATTGCCATCGGAAAATAATAGTAAATGAGAAAAGATTTCTATTATAATATGTTGGGGTATTACCCAGTGACTTAGTTAACAGAGCGTTCAATTTTTTAAATGTGTGCTCGTGTTCTTAGGAGATATATATGAGTATTTTGTGGCGAATGTGTAAAATAATTAGGAGATTAATTACATGGACGAAGATAATTAGTGTCTTTGAAATTAAAAATAAGAAAAACATTAGATTTCACTCAGTATATATTGATTACTTTTACAGCATCTTGATCAAATTGTGTTGATTTAGGACGTAATATATATATATTTTTCCCTAATATTCAATAAGCTTATTCTTATTTCATATAAAATTATGCTGGTACGGTTTGATTATAGCACCTTCTCTATTCAATGAAGTTAATTTCATTGTGAACTTAGTTTCAATTATAGGACGTTGATGCTTAGAACAAAAATACGTATAGGTGTGGTTATCTAATTGGTTTTGTCCATAGATGAAAAGTTGTTGCAAGTACACTAATTAAATTGGAACATAAAAGTTTAAGCAAAACTCAATAATGGATCTGTTAGCCAATGCAACTCTATGTATCAACTTCACCAATAATTTAGTCAAGGGCGGATTCAGGGTTGCTGATTGGGGTGGGCTAATTTTATACTGGGTTAATTCTGAGTAGTCTAATTTTTTTTTTTTTTAGGCTGGGCTAAAAGTAGTATAATAAAAAACCAAAAATTTCTTTTTTGGGGTGGGCTGAAGCCCACCTCCAACCACCCCTCCCTCCGCCCTTGAATGTAGCATTTGCATATTAAAATGACTTCTCTATATATCAACTTCACCAATAATGTAGCCATTGCATATTAAAATGACTTACATACCCCCAATATTCTTAGCTAAACTAGCCATCACACCCTATTTATTTTGCTAATTATGGGTATATTTTGAAAAACACCTTAATATAAATAGTTCAAATTGAGACATCAGTGATATTTTGAAGACTTGAAGGAGCTGAAAATGGAAAACACTTATCTCAAGTCACGTGTAAGATCCAAGTGTGCTCGACACTCTATTCAGCATTGCTTGCTTATTGAGAATTAAACAGAAAAAACCCTCATATATATAAATATATATATGCAATTTAAAGCTGTACCAAAATACATTACTTTTGGCTTCTTCAACTATTAAAGGCTCCTTTGTGCTTCTTCAAATATTCGCCTCTCTCTGCCATCCTTCGGTTTTTAACTTCCTTTTCACGCTCTGGTGTGCGGTCTTTGAGAGTCTAACCAAAGCAGGTCTCTCCCCTCTAAATATACACATATACACACGCATGTATGTATGTATCTATGTATTTATCGATTTTTATATCTAATATTGTTGTTTTAACGATTTCCAGGTTCAAAAGGTCTCCGAGAGTTCGGATTTGAGTTCGGCTGCAAGCGTTTCCTCTGCTTTTAACATTTAGGTTGTATATTTTTGAAGTTTCTTTCATGTTATGCGCTTCAAACGTCAATTTTGAATTATTTACATATTATTCGTTTTAAATTATTTATATATAAATGTGTAAGCTTTTTTTATTTACTGAAACTAGACAAGGGAAAGATATCTGGCTTGGGACTTGAAATAAATCTTGAATTTACGTTAATTTAAAACTTCAAATCTGTATAATATAAGCAAACCTAAAAGTAGCTGAGTTTAACATTTTTGGTTCAGAGGAATTCTTTGTTCAAGTTATTCTTTTTTAGTTATTTGAAGTTATGCAATCAAATTTAGGCATCTTTCTAAACTAAATGAACCCCCTCCCTTTCCAGTTAAGTTTTTCAGCTTTAACAATTTTAGTTTGTTTTATAGGTACATTTGTAGGCATTGCCTAGTAGTTTAAGATTTGTTATTTAACTTGTTTGTTGTTAGGTAGATGAAAGAAAGGGCTATTATAGACCGAACTGTGATTGTTGAAAGGTTTTATTGTGGTTAAATTCTCTCATTTGTATACAGACTAACCATCTCTCTGTAGATTATCCGTTTGTACTGAGAAATCAATCTTGCACCATGGTGCGTTCTGAAAATAGTTTTTTTTTCCATAGGTTGTGGAATATTGGCGGTGATGATTGGATGATTTCACTAATATGTTGAGTTCGTACATGGAATTACAGCTTTGCACTCATGTTCTTCAAAGGGTGGCATCTGATGCCCACATTTTAGGGCATGCTTGTTTAACGTAGTGTGTTAGTATATTATTTCCTAGTTTCAAAACATTTTCCTGGCAGTCTTCACTTCCTCAATCCTTTGCCATTCAAACAGGTACAAGTTTTGATGTGTCTCCTTTCTCGAATGTGTAGGGTCAAAAGGAGAGATTTACTTTTTGCAGGAATAGCAATCAAATCAAGACAACCAGAATTTGGTGAAATTCACTTTCTAGTTGTCTTTTGCCCTTTCTCTAGCAATACAATTGTGAAACTTACTTTTAAGAGCTTTGTTACTGAATCATACAGTTAGGCTATCAATCCATTGACAAAAATGGCCCTTCCCCCTCCAAAAAAAAAATAAAAATAAAAAACTGTAAAAATTTATTTAACTTTCACTTTCTTATTTCAATAGTTTGGTTGCTCAAATCTTGCTATTGATCATACTTGTCATAAAAAAATCTTGCTGCTGTTGATTCAGAATCCTTTAATTCAGAATAAATTTTACCTATATTAAAATGGAATCCTGTAACTTGTAAAATGTTTCAATCGAATTATTTGATACTTAATTCAAATCAAAGAACCTTAAAAGATTTTCGTTGCTACTCTTTTTACTGTAAATCTTGCAGATTTAATACAAGTTGGAAAGGGTTGAGGAAGTGATCTCCCATTCACGGTGGGAAAAAGTGTCGAATTACATGAATAATACACCGCAACATGTTGCTCAAACCTGCCCTAAAGTGTGCGTCAGATACTTCCTTTAAAAGAGCATGAGTTTGAACGTGTAATTTTTTGAAACAAATTAATTTGAATCTCTGTTCAACTGGGCATTGTTGAGTTCTGTGAGAATGAAAAAGATGGTTTAATTATCTCTAACTTCTTTTGTGTTCCACCTCAGTTATTATACATCATCTCTTGATTTATTTGGATTAAACACATCATCACCTTAGTGTACCACTGAATGCCTTTCTATAAGTTGTTGGTGAACTTTTTCTTCTGTGCTGAACATATCTTTTAGCCTTTATGGAAGAGATTAATTGGCAATTCCCCATCCAGAGGCTATGGTTATAAGATGCTCAAGTGATGCTTATTTATGTTGAGACAAATCTAACATTATAGTTGTTAAAGGCTCGCCTAGGCTCCAAAAAAGCCCCAGGCTCGTCAAAGCTTAGCTAGAGTGCCTCAACCTACTATAGGTCAGGCCTCTTCAATCAGGCTCACATGAAGCCCTCAGGCTCACACTTTTTAGTAGGCTTTAGGCTCAAAAAAGGCGCGCCTTCTATTTTTTTAATCATTTATTCATATCATTTTTTTTAGTTAATGACCACTAAATTAAAAGGTTCTATATCATATGTCATATTGTTTAACCTTATGAAATATTTGGCAAAATTCATAAATTTATGGTTCACTACTTTCATTAACTGCAATTACTACTTGATTATGAATATATATAATAACATATGTTTAAATATGCATTATTATATACACGAGCCTTACTTCGATCAGGCTTGCGCCTTATTCTGCGCCTTGCGCTTAGGCTCCAGAAGGCCTTTGGCGCCTTAGTGCGCCTTGAGACTTTAACAATTGTCATTAGGGTTCAAAATAGGTTGATAATATATTCAAAATCAACAATCATACAAAACACTCACCAAAGTTTACATGATGGTGGTTGCCTACAAATCTTAAACCATTTTTAAAACAACGGTTTCTATTTTCTCAAAACCCTAAATCTGAATTGTATATTGTTGGGATTGAGTGTGCCTTTCAAGCCAATTTATCATTGTATTTGGCAACTTATTATCAATAGAATTTGTTATTTCTAGTTTACACGCTTTACATACATATATGGTGAATGCTTTGTATTGGTTGACTCTAAATTTGAGTCAAAGTTGTCCTTTGATTATGTGGTATGATTTGTGCATCTGAAAAGGGATATGCATAGGATTCTATGCATAGGTTTGCATTCGTGGTAGAACATTTTATGTATAAGAATGTAACATAGGTTTCTACTTGTGGAATGACTTGTCTCATTATGAGTAGAAGAACCGTTCATATTGATGTGCACAACACATTGAACAGGATCGAGAATAAGTTGTAGAAATTATGATAGCCGTCGTAGTAATTTCTCTTTATTTTTGTTATAACAAGTTACTCTCTAAGAGAGTAATGGACTTATGTCTTGATTAGTGGTTTCTTTGATATATCTCAGTGGACCTTAGGGTCAAAAATATGAATATTTTGGGTAATCATTAGTTATAGGTTGTTAACCACCATCTACTCTAAAAGCTTAAGCTATTAGAGAGGGTGTAACTTTAATATTTAAATCCTTCAACACATCCCTTCATGTGTGGCCTTCTTTATGGTCCTACACACGTTTTTCAATTTTTAGTTAGGGTGAAGGTGAACTTTTAACTCGAGACCTTTGGCTCTGATACCATGTTAACCACCATCTACTCTAAAAGCTTGAGCTATTAGAGAGGGTGTAATTTTAATATTTAAATCCTTCAACATAGGCATTGGAACATTTATTCTCAAGATGGCATCTATACTAGTTCATTTATTATCGGCTTGATTATTTTGATTATACAAATCCGGATCCGGTGATGAAATGTTTTGTTATATATATTTATTTATTAAATATATTATTTTCTCAAAATAAATGCTTTATGCGATCAAATAGATTTAGTTAAGAAGTCAATAATAAAGGATAAATTAGTAATTGGATTAATAGCTTTCTTTGTCCAGTAAGCTAATGTTGCATAGAGAGGTAATTTTGTAATTTAACACATCGAGGCTCTTATTTATTCATTACTTGGAGTGAAACTATATTGATTTAATGGAATTAAAAATAGTTAATGTGTTGATTAGACCAGCTATTAGACCAATCGTTCTTAATGGTACCGAATGTTGGGCAGCTAGGAAACAACATTTGCATAAAGTGAGAGGGACGGAAATGCAAATGTTGAGATGGATTTGCAGTAAGACTAGAAAGGATAAATAAAGAAATGATCACATTCTGGAGATGGTTGAAGTAAAATAAACCCATTTTCCAACATATGTATAACAGGGTCAATATGTAAGAGAAAATTTTCATAAAATAACCCAATGCAAGTCCAGACGATTGGGATGGGTCGGCAAAAAAAAATGATCGAGGACGCTGCCCCAAACCCCTGCTGAGAATTCGGGAAATATACCCAATTCTTTTCCTCCAATCTCCTGGCTTTTGGGTCCTTTGGTTTCCAGAAAAGGTATTTTGGACAAAGAAATCAAACCAATAGCATTACAACTTAACTAGTTAAAACTTATATTTGCGAAAATTTGTTTATATTGTTATTGACTCAATTTGTACTCATTCATCTCTGGTTCTTTGCCATGTAAAGTTAACTTCTTTAACGGAGATAAATTATTCAGTGATATTGATCATGAATTTTGTGCTTCTGGTGTTTGGTACTAATGTTCATAGAATAATAAGTTCTTCCATAATATAAATTTGAGTAATTTTGATTACTTATTATTAGGCTCCTGCAAGATTTCAGTTTGGCTTAATGGTTTTCTTTTGTGTTACTTTTACATGTGCAATGTTAATTATGTGCTTTGATCTTTCAGGGGTTTATGTGTGTACATCCATATGTTGTCCTGTTAGTTGAGTAATAAGTAAATCAAAGAGCCATGAATGACAGCGGTGCCCCGGCAACACCTACTGCACGGCTTCGGCACCGCAAACGCTCAAATGAGGTTGGTTACTGAATCTTATAATGCTCTTAGCTTGAGTCAATGTTCAAATAGATAACTATAAATGTTCAAGTTAATTGAAACTATTTTATATATCTCTTAAACATTTATAAACATTATGAAACTTGTTGGTAGTACTAATGGAGCAAAACTAACATTTGCTGTATTGCTGGTGTTGGTGGGGTTCTTTGGGCCTTCTTTTTGTTGATGGCTCATTATGCCTTCACTATTGTCTTTGTGACAATATCAGAATTGGAATTATTACTATTAAAAACCATGGTAGTTAGCTTTTGATATGTCAATGTAAACAATCTAGGATGAATTGGCTTTGTTAGAAGGTTGGGTATTTTATTTTTTATTTTTTAATTCTATTTTTCTTTTGCCTATCAGGGTCCTCCAGATGTTGGCAAAGCAAATGGAGGCCATTTACTTGTTAATGATCAAAACAAATACAGGTCAATGTGGATCCGTGCCTATTCAACTGTTTGGATGATTGGGGGCTTTGCATTAATAATCTACATGGGTCATCTCTACATTTGGGCTATGGTGGTTGTTATCCAAATCTTTATGGCAAAAGAACTGTTTAATTTACTGAGGAAAGCACATGAAGATAGCCACCTCCCAGGATTTAGGCTACTGAATTGGTAAGCAGAAACAGATTCTTGTCAATATGTCAGCTATCAACTTATGTTGTTTCTGGGTGAGCTTTGTTTGTGTTAGCTATTTGATCAGTTGAAGTGATGGGCTGTTTTAGGTTTCTCTAAGCAGACCTGGTTTAGCAATCTAGTTTGAATGAGAATAAACTTATTGTTGGTTTTAACTTGGGCACATTTATGCATCATATTCTGAATTGTTTTAATTTTGCATAACTGAACTATGCTTAGCAAACATGTTTGTATATTTAAACCGCTCTGCTTGTCCTTCTCTGACCTCTTTTTATGATAACTCAAATAGCCGTACAGAATGACTTCCAAGTGATTTTGTTGCTGTTTATGAGTTATGGAATGTTATTTGTTTTTGCATTGATTTTGATTTTCATTTCCAGGCATTTTTTCTTCACTGCCATGCTATTTGTATATGGACGTATTCTAAGTCAAAGGCTCGTCAACACTGTCACTTCAGACAAACTTCTATTTCAGTTTGTGAGCAGTTCTGTCAAGTATCATATGGTTACCTGTTATTTCTTGTATATTGCAGGTTGGTTCTATCTGTTATGTTTATTCTTTCGTGCAATATATTATTATCCTCTTACTAATGTGTATTTAGATTTAAAGTGCAACTTCTAATTCTTATACATTTCCCATCAAGTTATTAGTATCTTTTATCTGCTTGCCGTTACTGTTGCTGGTTATTGCCGTTGAGTGGTGTATCCCTTAACTTGTCATTTATGAACACTGTTGCTGAACCTTTTTTTTTTTTTTTTTTTTTGTGTTTAATTGGGCTCAGGTTTCATGTGGTTCATTCTTACACTAAAGAAGAAGATGTACAAGTATCAATTTAGCCAATACGCATGGACCCACATGATTCTGATTGTGGTGTTTACACAATCATCGTTCACTGTAGCCAACATTTTTGAAGGAATCTTCTGGTAACAACTTACGTATCTATTCTTCCTTTTTTGGTTATATCAAACTATAAACTGTAAACCATTTATGTCACCGCTTTACTGTTATTTTCCCTGTACACATTCCTGCAATAACTAGTTTCAGGAGACTTCCTTTTATTCACACTTTCTGGTCCTTGTAACTTTAATTTACAGATAGTGAGAGTAGGAAAAGAAATCATGCCCCGTTATTCACTCCTCTTATCAAGGAGCATGGATTTTTAAGTCAAAATGGTACCAAAAAGGGAGAAAATGTCAAATTTAGAATTTTAGTAAGTTGTTTGTGTAAAAATGGAGATTTGTATAGAGAGAGAGAGAGAGAGAGAGAGAGAGAGAGAGAGAGAGAGAGAGAGAGCTCAGACAGAGAGTTTGAGGCTCAGCCCATATTTCCCATATATTCCTTTAACCCTAAAACATAAAGGGGGTTATATACAATACAAGAAAGGCCTATTTACATAATGGCCATAAACCCTATATCTAATTACAATAGGATCCCAACATAAATACATATATACATATAAGTGTTTTAACACTTCCCCTCAAGCTGGAGAATATATATCATATAATCCCAGCTTGGAACAAATCGTTTTTAACCGATTATGACCAAGAGCCTTAGTAAACATATCAGCTAATTGATCTTCAGACTTCACGAATGGAGTAGAAATGTTTCCACTCAATATTTTCTCTCGAGTGAAGTGACAATCAACTTCAATGTGCTTAGTTCTTTCATGAAACACCGGATTGGATGCGATGTGAATAGCTACTTGGTTATCACAGAACAGTGGAATAAGAGTTTTGACTATTAACCCAAGTTCTTCAAGAAAATGTTCTATCCACGTTAACTCACTAGAGGTATGGGCCATCGCCCTGTACTCTGCTTCAGCACTAGACTGTGCTACAATTGTTTGCTTTTTACTTTTCCATGTAACAAGATTTTCACCAACAAATGTACAATAGCCTGTAGTAGATTTCCTATCTGAGGGAGAACCAGCCCAGTCAGCATCTGTGAAACCTGTCACATTAAGATGACCATTAGGTTTATATAGTAATCCAAAACCTAGAGCTTGTTTGAGATATCGAATAATTCGAAGAACAACATTCTAATGTGGTACTCTAGGAGCACTCATGAACTGACTTATAACACTAATTGCATATGAAATGTCAGGTCGAGTGATAATGAGATAAATTAATTTCCCAACTAGAAGTCGATATCTGCCATGATCGTCAAATAAATCACCCTCATTAGGTAATAATTTTATATTTGGGTCCATAGGAGCATCAGCAGGGCGAGTACCTAACATACCTGTTTCTTTTAACAAGTCCAACACATATTTCCTTTGAGATAGACTTATACCTTCCTTGGATCTAGCAACCTCAATACCCAAGAAATATTTGAGTTTGCCTAGATCCTTTGTGTGAAACCGATTCTGTAAGAAAAATTTTAACTTTGCAATGCCGTCAGAATTATCACCTGTTACAACAATATCATCTACATATACCACAAGAAATATAAAGTCAGTTTTAGTATATTGGTGAAATACCGAATGATCTGTCTGGCATCTGTTAAGGCCAAAGGAAAGTATCACCTCGAAGAATTTTCCAAACCAAGCCCTTGGAGATTGTTTCAATCCGTACAGGGCCTTTTTAAAACTTCATACAGCATAACGAGACTCCCCCTGAGCAACAAATCCAGGTGGTTGCTCTATGTAAACCTCTTCATGTAAGTCACCATGTAAGAAAGCATTTTTCACATCTAATTGAAACGACGACAAATTACAATTGGCGGCAAAAGAAATCTTCGCAACAGGAGAAAAAGTCTCATCATAATCAATACCATGGGTTTGTGTGTATCCCTTTGCAATAAGGCGAGCCTTGCTTAACAGATCCATCATGGAGATATTTGACAGTGTAGACCCACTTACAACCAACCGTTTTAGAACCGGGAGGTAAGGGAACAAAGTCCCATGTCTAATTATGATGAAGAGCATCCATTTCATCTATCATGGCTTTGCGCCAAGCTGTATCAGATAAAGCATCCTGCACAATTTTCAAACAGCAGTAGCAGATAATGTGGATAAAAAACAAGAAAATGAGGGCGATACCTTTTTATAGGAAACAAAGTTAGATATGGGGTGTGCAGTGACACACGAGCGAACACCCTTACGCAATGCAATATTAAGATCATCAGTAGGTGGAGGAGCCTTAATGGAAGTAGACAATTTGTTTTTTTTTTTGGGGGGGGGGGGGGGGGGGGGGTTGTGGTGGGTCACAGGGTAATGAATGTGACACAACAGGCAACGAAAGCAGCAGCTAGGTATCTAAAGACGAACTATGTGAAGAAAAATAAGGAGTATCCTCAAAAAGGTAACGTCTATGCACACAAAAGCATTATGAGTGCTAGGATCCCAACATTTATAACCTTTTGAGTCTGAGAGTATCCAATAAAGACACACTTAATGGCATGAGGAGACAATTTATCAGTTCCAGGGCGTAATATGTGAGCAAAACACACACACCCAAAAACATGAGGCAGTAATGCAAATAACGGTCAAGTAGGAAAAACAAAGGAATAAGGACATTTCCAATTAAGAACAGAAGTTGGCATATGATTAATTAAATAACAAGTAGTTAAAATAGCATCACCCCAAAATGCTTTTGGAAGATGCATATGTATCATTAATGTCCGAACTATTTCAATTAAATGCCTATTTTTCTGGTCGGCTACGCCATTTTGTTGAGGAGTATAAGAACAAGAAGTTTGGTGCAAAATACCACGAGAGTCGCAAAAACTAGAAATAACACCTTTGACATATTCCATAGCATTATCAGATTGTAAAGTGCGTATAACACACCCAAATTGGACCTCAATTTCTTTTAAAAATATTTGAAATATGGAAAGAAGTTCAGAACGGTCTTTCATTAAAAATAACCAAGTCATCCTTGAATAATCATCAACAAAGGTAACAAAATAAGAAAAACACGAGTGACTAGTGTGACGAGCAGGACCCCAAATGTCCGTATGCACTAATTCAAATAAAGAAGATCGATGATTAACGATACGAGGAGGGAAAGGCACTTTATGGTGGTTACCCAACTGACAAGACTCACAATTTAAAGTAGATGCCGACTCAAGGAAAGGCAAAGCAGACTTCAAATACCGCAACGAGGGATGACCTAACCGATAATGCCACTGGTACACAGACATCTGGGAATGTAAAGCAACAGTGGAAGGTTTGCAATCCAAATAGAATAGGCCATTTTTGTTACTGCCCCCACCAATCGTTTGTTTCGTGTTGAGGTCTTGAAAGACACAAGACGAAGGATAAAATGTGACAAAACAGTTCAGTGCTTGAGTCAATTTACTTACCGATAATAAATTAAAGGGAAAATTTAGAACTAATTGCACAGAGGATAAAGAAATGGATGGGGTTAATTTAATATTTCCCTGGCCAATAATGGAACATGTTCTACCATCAGCCAGGGTAGCAAAAGATGAGGAACTAGACTTCTAAAAATTAGAAAATAGAGAGGCTTCACCTGTGAGATGGGTAAAAGCCTCAGAGTCAATAACCCAAGGGGATGCTGAAGTCTGTAAATCGGACAAGCATGCAATATCGCCTGATTGCGCAAAATTAACCACATCAGTAGAGTTGGGATGTGTCCGGTTGACCAATGCACTGAACTCAGCTCGTGATAATGGTAGTGTCATGGTGTCACTAGTAGATGCAGGTGATGGTAATACAGAAGTCTGACCAAGAGAGTGATGAGACCCCGCAAGGTCAGAGGAAGACATTGCTTGGTTTGCCCATGCTGTTTCCCATGAAGAGTCCAATAGTTCTCAACAGAATGGTTAGTACCCCGACCACGGCGACTGCGAGGATCACTACGTCCACGACCACGGCGACTGCGACTTCTATCACGGCCACTACCGCCACGAGAATTACCTGAATTTTTACTATACCCTTTGTTGCCACTAGGAGTATCACGACCTCTAGAGGACTGTGGAAAAATAGAAGGAATCATCATAGCTGAATTTTCTTTCACTCCAGTGGGCGTCACGTCACATGTAATTGTTCTGAAACCCGAAGTAAGCGGGAATAAATGTTACCCAAAGATAGGAGTCCTCCATCACCAGTAAGGATTTGATCCCGAATATTATGAAGGCTCGGGTGCAAACCAGCAAGAAAAATGGAAACAGAAAATTCCTCACGTTGTCGCTTGAGAACGTCAGGATCAGTAGTCAAGGGATGGTACTGATTCAACTCATCTAACAGGCTTTTGAAAGTGCTGTAATACTCACCGAGGCCTTGACCAGAGAGGTTAGATTGACGAGAATGGAATATCTTTTCATACAATGAATATATGCGAGAAACATTTGTGTCGATAGAGTAAGTTTCTTTAACTGCATCCCAGATTGCCTTTGCAGTGTTGACAAACTTAAAAGTGGATGCAATGGAGGGTTCCATACTGTTCCACAACCAGGACATAACCATATAGTTATCAGTTTCCCAATCCTCATATGTTGCTGATGTTTTTGATGAAGGATTAGTTGTAATAAACTTCAGCTTTCGTCGGGCACCTAAAGAAATCTTTACTGCTTGAGCCCATAGTAAGTAATTGGAATTACTTAATTTCATAGATGTAATTTGCAGCCTGACAAGATCAACATGTGTTGCAGAAGATTTAACTCCAGTAGACCCAGAAGCAACATTTGAATCGTCCGACATGGATATATGAATATGTAAAAAAATACTTATCTGCGCTAAGTTAAGATGCCAAATCTGTACCGAAGAACTAAAGAACCAAAGAAACTGTTGCACCCAAGAAGGCCATAACAGAGTTGAACCGGGAACAGAAGAAGACTCGGAGCAGAACAGACCCGGTCAGTAAATCGGGTCGAACGGGCCGGACCTTAAATCAGGTCGAACAGGCCGGACCTTAAATCGGGTTGAATCGTAAATCGGGTCGGAAAAAATCTGGTTTATGTTAACTTGGATTAGGATAGCGAGAACCCTGTAGCCAAACACCGTTCTTCTTTACAAAATCTTAGCTCTCCAGCAAGCACGCAGTCGCAGTGACAGCGGCGGCGGTGGCAACGGAATAGAGACAGCGAGAGAGCTTAGACAGAGAGTTTGAGGCTCTGTCAAACAAATGTTTTATTGTGATCGAGCCAGAAATAATCAAATGTATCAAAATAAATATATTAATTAAGTAGTCGGATTGATGGCTTTATTTATCCGATAACTAATTATGCATAGAGGGGTCAAAGTGCAATATTGACTTAGAGGTTATTTATTATTTGTAGAAGTATCCTAGACGTATCCTAAGCGTGTCCTCGCGTATCCAATATTCATAAATTTATTTTAAAAAATTGGATACTTTTCAGCCGTATCGAATACATATCCTGCCGCGTATCCGTATCGGTTACGTGTCCCACGGGGCCTCTTTCAGAGTATCCGTGCTACACAAGGGGACACTAATGCCAAACACAGTCTCTTTGGTTGCCTTTTAGTATTTGCTAGCATATGAGATTGATTTTATTATTATCTTTGAGGTGCATCAGTAATTTCAATCATTGCACCATCAGCTGCGTTTTACGAGTTCTTTTTGTGACTTGATCATTGAGGTTTTCGGGATTTTATATGGGTTATTTCTTACATTTTTTTTTACATGAATAAGAACATAGACTGAACTTACATGTAAGGAAGGAGAATATAGGAAAGGGGGTTCCAACATTGTTTCAACTGCATGCAGGTTTCTTCTTCCAGCATCCCTTATTGTTATCAATGATATTGCTGCTTATATCTTCGGTTTCTTCTTCGGAAAAACCCCTTTGATCAAGTTATCGCCCAAAAAAACATGGGAGGGTTTCATTGGAGCATCTGTTACAACAATAATCTCTGCATTTGTGGTGAGCAGCCTATCCTTTTATTTGGCAATGATAAACACTTCGTTTTCCTTAATTTATAAATGCATATTTATATCGACTTCTCTATTGGTTAAGTGTCTATTTTGTTAGAATAGACCTAGTGTTTAGTGGTCCAAGCTACAACCTGATAAACATAGTCTTAGTCTTACAGGCTCTTCTTCTTTGTGGATTTAACTAAATGATGGTGCCTTTTGTTCGTCCCATGTAATAAGTGCATTGTGATGGCAATGGTCTTGGTTGACTCTGATGTATATTTATTTATTTTCTATTTGCACTTAATCCTTATGCATTTGAAATTTGAAATGGAATGCATTAGATTTGACTGACTGATTTTTCTTATTTATGTATAGTTTGTAAGATTCATGACGTGGAACACATGTTCACTTGTTTATGCAGATAGCGAATATCCTGGGTCGTTTTCAGTGGCTAACATGCCCAAGGAAGGTGATTTTTGTATATTAAATTATCTTTGTTTTCCCTGTTGTGGGAAAACTTAGCTTCATGTTCCTATGGTGATAAAACGTGCAGGATTTATCAACTGGTTGGCTTCATTGTGATCCTGGTCCATTGTTTAAACCGGAGTATTTCATTTTACCAGGATGGGTTCCTCAATGGGTAAGTAACGCTAATTGGCTCTAAATTCTGATGCACAGTATTTCTCCAATGTGTTGACTTGCAAAATTTTCTATACTTGCAAAAGTATATATTTGTGTCTGTTTTCCAATTCTCGGTGATGGATTCATCCTTCAGTTATTGGTTGATTTGCTGTCATCTGTGCAAACCTTGTAATGCATATTCATGGTTGCAGTTAGTAAGGTATGACAAGCCCTTTAAGATTTCTGATAGAATTTTGTCATTGTCATCTTAGGAGCAAAATAATTTCTTTGGCTGACATTTGTTGGTTTGTGAAGTTGGGGGAAAAATAATTCCCTTTTGCTTTGGAGAATAAAATTATAAATATTTTATTCAAGAATTGAACTAATAAAGATGTATGAGCGAACTGAATTAGATGTGCTTTTCAAGCTCAATATCATTGTTAACTTAAAGAATTTGTGCAGCCTGCTACAAGTTTTTGGGTGTTAGGCTTTGTTGAGTTGAGATGAGCATAAACTTGAAAAAAGCTTTCCTTTGGAAATTTTGTCTACGAATCCTTGCAAAGTAAATGTAATAATTCCTTTGGATTCTAACATAATTTAATTTTATTGTATCTTGATTATTTTCTAGAGCAGTTGTTACTGTTTGAGTCTAACTGTGTTGTATTTATCTATTTAGTTTTGCTAGTTAACAGTGGATGATAGGCGCAGTTCGGGGCCAATTAGAAAGTACGTGGCATGTATGGCCCAGGCGATCGCTAGCGGCGTGTTAGACCCAATGATGTAGAACTGATTGCCGAAGCTCATATGGCTCGTTTGGATTGCCAGAAGGCCAAACAAACGGGCTGCCAGATTTTCCCGGGCCAATTTCAACGAGTCCATTTTGACTCGAAAAGCCACCTTTCCAATTAGAAACAACACAGCAGCTTTTCTGCTGATGCAGGCTGCTTTTCGGCCAAATTCCATCATACCGGCCTTTAAAATTGCATTTTCGTATTTTTTAATGTTTCGGAAGTTTTATTAGAGGTCTAAATGAATTCGAATTATATTGATTTTTGGTATCCAGTAGTTTTTAGGGATTAGGTTTCTTTTTCTATTTTTTCGTAATTTTTAGAGAAAGTTGCATTTTGGGCAGTTTCCTTATGCTGCTAGGTTTCCATATGCTGTGAGGTTTTTTCATTATACATACATGTACTGCAAAGAGCAGAATTCGTACGTTGATTAATAATATTATCAGATTTGTCTTTACCTATACTTTGTGGATTCAAAGTGCTTATTATTCATTTGGCGTTCATAGCTTCCGCTCCATCACCCTAGGCACCTTGGCTTGTTGGGGGCCACCTAGAAAATTTGACAACTACGTCAATGATAGCACCACCTAATTACCTGCCCTTCCCAAGAAATTAAAAAAAAAAGACAAAAGAAAAGACAGTAGAAGCACCAGCACCAAGGCAACAGGAATAATTGTTATGAAAAGGACTGAACTGGAGTTTATGAGGACAATAGAAAAATAATGAATAGAAAATAAACTAGGCACACACACAAAAGAGAGAAGGATTTACTTGGTTCGGCTTTTGGCCTACGTCTATGGGAGTAGATAGAACAAATATTTCCCTATGGAAATAAAGAGATACAAAACAAAGTGGCTCACACCCAAAACCCAATTATACCCAAAGCTCTTACTCACAAATTGATTCCTAAAGCATGAGGTTCACTGGCTTATTTATAGCTAATGAACCGCCAATTAAGTGAGCTAAACAGCTTGCCATTCAATGCTTCACAAAGGAGTACAACTGTATTCGTGTCACCAAAGTTATTGACTTTGAGGCGGTTTAGAATACTTCATTCTTAAGCATCACACAGCCAAAACTTGAATCAATTATATTGGTTTCCTTGTCTGATAAGAATAGCTATAATTGTTGACCAAACATTGAACGTATGATGTAATATAGATCAGCTTAACAAATGAAGATGCTGTTGTTTGCATTATAAGCCAATGAGAGAATAGAGTGATATCACACCAGACAAATCTAGTATGAATGCCATGGACACGTCATTCAGCAATAATTAGCTTCCTTTTTACTGGATAAAGGCTGTCACTTAAAAGGCTTTTGTTTCTGTGCTCTATGGCTCATCTGTGTTGGTGCCATTTGGGTTCTGACTCAATTATTTTCTTTGAGTATATTGTCTTCTAACAAAATAGGAAACTAGTTATGTTTTAACAGAGCTGGCAATGGATTGATTCAAGCAGCTTTGGATCCGGCTTTTCCAGAACTGCCAGATTACCTGTACATGGATGGGATAATTCATTGAAGTCTGAATTTGATCCATCTGTTAGGTTTAATGTTAAACTGACCAGTCAAGTCCCTTTAAGAAGATTTATTTTCCTTATTTTTTTTTTATTAATATTATAATACTAAAAGGTTGCTTTTTGAATGTGGATTATATTTTAATTTTACAAGTTAATGTACCATTGCTTTTGTGTGATGGTAAAAGCTCAAGCTGTGAAGCGTGAAAACACATGTTGAGTGTGAGGGGTGATACATAGTGCAAATAAAAATGTTAAAGTTTGTAACCAGTCTTCCTCTTGCAGCACTCTGGTAGATTATTTTTTCCATTTTTACTTTTCTGTCATAACATGCAAATAAAGTATGATGATGGATGGATGTCAGAAATCTTATTAAACGCTAAAATTAGTGATAAGGATAAGTAATTCCTACTAATGTTCTATTTAAACTTTTTGGGAGTTATACTTTGGGTTATTTCTTGATAGTGTTGATTAGATCCCATTCTCAGACGGGATAACGAATTGGCTCGAGAGGGTTTTCCGGATTAGGAGATCAAGAGGCTATCTTCTCCATGAGTAGTTTAGTCGCTTGGGCTGGACGGCTTTCCGATTGCCACCTTTCGAGGTTATTAGGAGATTATGATGAAGTACCTTTTGAAGATGTTCATTGAGTTCTTTGAAATTGATTCTGTGAACAGTTCTAAAATTGTTTGATTCTTAAAGTACAAGTCCATTCGCATTAAATCTTATAGATTTGTTGGTTTGTTGATTACTCCTTTTATAAGATTTTGACAAAGACTTGCCTTTAAGCCGATGGAGACCTTCAAGAGACCGTCTCTTTTTATCCTTGTTGAAGGTCATCAAATTTTAAATGCGATATGGGTGGCTGATGTCATAGATAAAACTTAAAAGCTGCAAAACATTGATAATGAGAGAATTGTTTTCGAGGTTGGCATTGAAAAGCACATGCCTGTGTGGTTTGGGGTTTTTGGATTAAATAGTGAAAAAGGAATTCCAGGATTAGATGGAGGAAATGAGTTAGAGGTCGCTTTAGATCCATGAAGTTATTATTTTATAAAATGGCCAAAGTAATGGATGGCTTAAAGCTAGTAGAGTATCCAGCAAGTTCATCACTTTTCTTTGGTGGTGGACATCGTTAGTTATATGGTTTTTGAAGTTGTATTTTTGGGTTTTGGAAGGGCTACACTGTTGGAGCCGGAGGGTTAAGATTGCATTGTCTGATCTTCAGTTGGCAGATGATATTTTTTCATGTTAAAGCTACTCTTTTTGTCTAGTGTTTTGGGACTATGTCAACTCTTTAATTAGCATGTCTAGGAGCGCTTTGTCGTGTATTAACTTTGACAGTGATAAAATTGAAATGTAGGTTGACTCATTATGTTGTTCCATGAGTAAATGGATAATGAATTGTTTGGGCCTCTATTTGGGTGGTAATCCTGACGCCAGAGAGTTTCGGGATCCTGTGGTAGAGAAAGTGGGCAGATGCTAAATGGTTGAAAGAAAAGTTTCAATTCCAAGGGAGGTAGAATATCTTCAATCCACTAGTTGCTTGTCCTACCTAATAGCTCTCTCTTTAGGATGCCAATTGGTGTTTCTTGTAGACTAGAAAACATCAAAGAGATTTCCTTGTGGATGATTTAGATGAGGGGAGGAAGTATCAATTAGTTAAACTGAAGGTGATTTGTTGTCCTAAAGATAAGGATGTTAATGCTAGTAATACTGCTTTGACTGGTAAGTTGTTGTGGAGTTACCTGTGTGCAAATTTCCCTTTGCGTTATTACTCTACTTAGGAAAATCTCTAAATAAAACTATTCTTTTTCTTCTTCCGTTTCTTCCTCACAGGCACAGGACTCTTTTTGAGCCCAATAGTTCTGTGGTTTTTGAGCGTTTCGTGCTGAAATATCTGGAATCTGGTCTAGAACAATATTTCATAGATTTTCACCCTTGACCTTGGTGTTATTAAGGTCTTGTTACATCAATTTACTTATTGGGAAATGTTGTAAAGCATAAAACGGAAGCAAAGAGATAAATGAAACACGAAGAACACAAGGATATTACGTGGTCCAACCACTAGGGCATACATCCACAACACAAAGAGCTCAAAGGGCTACATCACTTTATAATATATTCCTCTCTTGATCTTTGTATGCAATGATCACTTCTATTTATAGGAGAAGGAATAGAGGTGATAAATATGGAAAATACATTAATGAAAGATTCCTAAAATCAATACCATAAATCACTCCAATCAATATTCTATTATAGGCTAGAATCTCTCCCATGATATTATCATATCAAATATTCTGTCAAGGAGTAATTTAAGGGTTCCTATAATAATATTTCCAAATATAACATTTTCTAATACTCCCCCTCAAGCTGAAGGTTGTATGGAAATAACGCTCAGCTTGCATATCAAATCATGAAACAAATCATTTTTCAACGATTTGGAAAAAGACAATAAAATTGCTAGAGACACGGTGAAGGTGAAGAACAATGCTACACCGGCAGCCCAAATAAGTCCACATAGCACCTAGCACCGAACACATGGCGAAGGTGACGAACAATACTACCGAACACACCGGCAGCCCAAACAAGTCCACATATCACCGAACACATGGCGAAGGTGACGAACAATGCTACCGAACACATCGGTAGCCTAAACAAGTCAATAAAACTGCCGGAGACAAGGCAAAGGCGAAAACATTATCGCTGAACAA